CCCAGTATATAACCCCCCCGTTATACATAACTCACCGACCCCCAACCCCGCAAGGGGGGGAAATAACACCCCCCCCGTATTAACACCCCCCCCCCCACCGTAAATAACACCCCCCAGTATATAAACACCCCACCCCCCCCGTATATAACACCCCCCCCTTATATAACACCCCCCAGTATATAAACCCCCACCCCCCGTATATAACACCCCCCCATTATCCCCCGTATATAACTCACCCCCACCCCCGTTTTATATTTTAAAAACCCCCCCCAACCCCCCCCGTATATATACTTACCCCCCCTCACCCCCCGTATATAACACCCCCCCACCCCCCCGTATATAACCCCCCCACCCCCCTTATAACAAACCCCCCCCCCGTAATATAACACCCCCCAGTTATAAAACCCCCATCCCCCCGTATATAACACCCCCCCGTATATAAAACCCCCCCAACACACCCCCCCTCCGTATATAACACGCCACCCAGTATATAAACCCCCCCCTAATAATAACCCCCCGTATAATAACATCCCCCACCCCCCCCAGGTATATAACCCCCCCACCCCCCCGTATATAATCACCCCCCCCCCCACCGTATATAAACCCCTCCCCACAATAGGATAACACCCCCCGTATATAAACCCCCCCCGTATATAACACCCCCCCTCCCCCAATATAAACCCCCACCCTACATTTTAATACCCACCACCCCCCGTATATAACACCCCCCAGTATATAACACCCCCCAGTAATAAACCACCCCCCGTGATATAACACCCCCCCGTATATAACACCCCCCCACCCCCCGTATATAACACCCCCCCCCGTATATAACACCCCCCCCACCACCCCCCCCGTAATAACCCCCTCCCCCCCCCGTATATAACACCCCCCCCACCCCCCCGTATATAACACGCCCCCCCTGACTAACCTCCCCCAATTATATAACATACCCCCACCGTAACCCCGTATATAAGCGAACACCCCCCAGTAAATGAAACCCCCCCGCCCCCATAACACCCCCCCCAGTATAATAACCCCCAACCCCACCACCCCCCCGTATATAACACCCCCCCATTAATATAACACCCCCCCCACCCCACCTACCCCGTATATAACACCCCCCCCGTGTTATTACACACCCCCCCCGTATATAACACCCCCCACCCCCCGTATATAACCCCCCCCCGTATATAACACCCCACCGTCTTATAAACCCAACCCCCCGTATATAACACCCCCCCCCCTAATATAACACCCCCCCACCCCCTCCCCCCGTAATAACCCCCCACCCCAATACTAAATAACCCCCCCACCCCCCCGTATATAACCCCCGCCCCCCGTTATAACACCCCCCACCCCCCGTATATAAACCCCCCTAATACCCCCCATATACCCCCCCACCCCCCCCGTTATATAACACCCCCCCAACCCCCCCCCGTATATAAACCCCCCCACACCCCCCGTATATAACACCCCCCCAGTATAACACCCCCCCCACCCCCCCCCGTATATAACACCCCCCCGTATATAACCCCCCCGTATTATATAAACCTCCCACCCCCCCAGTATATAACACCCCCCCCGTATATAACCCCCCCCCGAATATAACACGGCCCCCCCCCCCCCCCCGTATATAACAAACCCCCCCAGTATATAAAAACCCCCAGTACTAGTCCCACCCCCAACCCCCGTATATAACACACCCCCCCGTATATTAACACCCCCCAGTATAAAACCCCCCCACCCCCCGTATAAAACACCCCCCCACCCCCCGTATATAAACACCCCCCGTATATATAAACCCCCACCACCCCGTATATAAACACCCCCCACCCCCCCGTATATAACACCCCCCCAGTATAATAACCCCCCCCACCCCGTATATAACACCCCCCCCCACCCCCCGTATATAACACCCCCCCGTATATAACCCCCCACCCCCCGTATATAACACCCCCCCTGTATATAAAACCCCCCCACCCAAACCCCCCGTATATAACACCCCCCAGTAATAACCCCCCCACAAACCCGTATATAACACCCCCCCACCCCCCCGTATATAACACCCCCCAGTATATAACCCCCCCACCCCCCGTAAATATAACACCCCCAGGATAATAACCCTTAATAACACCCCCCACCCCCCCCGTATATATAACACCCCCCCCACCCCCCCCTTGTATACACACACCACACACTGCCACAGTCCCGCCATGTGATGTATGAGGACCCCATTGGTTCCGCTGTCAGCTGCGAGGATTCTGGGTAATTAGGGGATGTGACCCTTCCGAATCGGCCAATCACTGAAGGAAGGGGCAGCACCCTCCTCCATGCAGAGCTTCAGGCATTGATCTCTATTGGCCGAGTCCGGGAGGGGGGAGGAGACTCAAACCTGCTTGTGGGCGTCACCCCCGCCGTCCCGCTCCGCGCCACTCATCGCTCATTTTCAGCTTGAAGGAACAGAGGAGGAAAGTGAGAGCCACAGACTGCCAAGGAGGGGCCCCCCGACTGTACACCCGAGTGGCCCCCCACCGACCCTACACCGAAGGGCCCCCCCAACTCCACACCAAGGGCCCCACCAACCCTACACCAAGGGGGGCCCCCCCGAACTACACAGAGGGGCCCCCCCCCCGACTCTACACCGAGGGCACCCCCCCCCCCGACTCTACACCGAGGGCACCCCCCCCCCGACTCTACACCGAGGGCACCCCCCCCGACTCTACAACCGAGGGCACCCCCCCCTAGACTCTACACCGAGGGGCACCCCCCGACTCTAACTCCACACCAAGAGGGCACCCCCTACCCGAGGGGGCCCCCCCACTACCAGAGGGGGCCCCCCGCCAACTCCTAACACCAAAAGGGGGCCCCCCCGACTACACAGAGGGGCCCCCCCCCCGACTCCTACACCGAAGGGTCCCCCCCCCCGACTCCACAGAGGGCCCCCCTGCCCAACTCCACACCAAGGGCCCCCCCAACCCTACACCTAAAGGGGGCCCCCCCCCCCGACTCTACAGCCGAGGGGACCCCCCCCCCCCCGACTCTAACACCGAGGGCACCCCCCCCCCGACTCTACACCGTGGGCACTCCGACTCACACCCCCCCCCCCGACTCTACAACAAGAGGGCACTCCCCGACTCTACACCAAGGGCCCCCCCCCAACTATCGAACACCAAGGGGGCCCCCCCGACTCTACACCAAGGGCCCCCCCCCGACTAACACAGAGGGGCCCCCCCCGACTCCACATCAAGGGCCCCCCGACCCTACACCGAGGGCCCCCCCCGACTCCACAGAGGGGCCCCCCGACTCCACACCAAGGGCCCCCCGACCCTACACCGAGGGGCCCCCCCCGACTCCCACCGAGGGTGCCCCCCCGACTACACAGAGGGCACCCCCCCGACTCTACACTGAAGGGACCACCCGACTCTACACAGAGGGCACCCCCCCGACTCCTACACAGAGGGGGGCCCCCCCGACTCTACACAGAGGGGCCCCCCCGACTCTACACAGAGGGGCTGCCCACATTACAGCCACCCACAATAGAAGTCCCACCCCCTCGAGTACCCCCAAACCAGAGACTGACCCCCCCCCAGAACCAATGTTGGTGGGCCCCCACAAGTACCACCCATCCAGAACTGACCCCCAGACCAGTGTAGTGGCCCCCCCTGAGTACCCCATCCAGAGGCTGACCGTCTGACGTGATGACGTCCTCCGGTACAGATGTTCAGTAAAGACGACCTCTGACCTGTGCGGGGAACATTCCCGGGGAGGACGCAGAGCCCGGCACGGCCCGGAACCCTAGGAGGAGGGAAGCCGCTAACATTTTATCTCCTGTCGCCTTTCCCATGACATGTCCATCCTTTGTTGTGTCCCCCGGGGCCCCGCTCTGGAGTCACCAGCCAATGGAAAACACGTGGGCCACGGATGCTGGGCGCAGCCACCAAGATCACAGAGAGGATGTGCGGACAAAGGAGGACTACAACACCCATCAGACACACAACCCGGAAGGGGAGGAGCCTCTCACCTGGGGGGGGGGGGGGGGGGGGGACAACAACTTCTCCAGCATCAGGGGAGAACCATCCGCAAACAGCTGAGCCCATCTGGGGGAGGAGGAGCCACTCACCTGGTGGGGGGGGGGGGGACAACTACAACTTCTCCAGCATCAGGGGAGAACCATATCCGCAAACAGGCTGAGCCCATTCTCCCACCCTTGGAGGAGCCTCCACCTGGGGGGGCGGGCACCCTCACAAAACTTCTCCAGCACTCGAAATGGGGGGAGAACCTCCCCCAAAAAGCTGAGCCCAGTCCCTGGGGGAGGAGCCCTTACACATGGTGGGTGGGCGGGACCAACGACTTTCCCCACACTGGGGGTGGAGAACCATCCGCAAACAGCTGAGCCCAGTCTGGGGGGAGGAGCCTGTGGTGGGCGACCAAACTAATCTGGGAACCCCAAAGTGTAATGCAGGACAGAATTCTCAGACAGAAGTAAATGAGGATCCGGAGTACAGAGGCGGGGCTGTGTTCAGGCCATTCAGCGTACTCTATTCTGAGCAGAGCCAACCATATACTAATAGATCCTGTGTAAGGTCTCCATCTCCTCCATATACTATAGATCCTGTGTGACCCCACCCTCTCCATATCCCTATCTCCATCGTCCTCCATATACTATAGATCCTGTGTGAAGCCCCGTCCTCCATATAACTATAGATCCTGTGTAAGGGCCCTCCCTCCATATACTATAGATCCTGCGTGAGCCCTCTCCCCATATACTACCCAGATCACCTGTGTGACCCCCCCTCCCTCCCATACACCCCCACATCCGGCCCTGTGTGAAGCCCCCCTCCACATATACTATTTAGCCCCGCGTGAGGCCCTCTCCTTATACATAGATCCTGTGTGACCCCCTCATTCTCAATCCAATACTATAGATCTGTGTGAAGCCCCGTACCTCCTCCATATACTAAATAGACCTGTGTAAGGCCCCACCAACCCTCCATATACTATAGATCCTGTGTGAGGTCTCCATCTCCTCCATATACTATAGATCCTGTTGAGGCCCCCCTCCTCCATATACTAATAGATCCTGTGTGAGGTCTCCATCTCCTCCATATACTATAGATCCTGTGTGAGGTCTCCCCCATATACTATAGATCCTGTGTGAGGGTGCCCCCCTCCTCCATATACTATAGATCCTTGTGAGGTCTCCCTCCTCCAATACTATAGATTCTGTGTGAGGTCCATCCCCCATAACTATAGATCCAAATACGTGAGACCCCCTCTCCTCCATATACTATTAGATCCTGAGTGACACCCCCCACATACATAACTATAGATCCTGTGTGAGGTCACCATCTCCTCCATATACTATAGATCCTGTGTTGAGGGCCCCATCTCCACCATAACTAGGATTCTGTGTGAGGTCTCCTCCATATACTATAGATCCTTGTGAGGTCTCCATCTCCAAAATATATACCCCCGATCCTGTGTGAGGCCCTCTCCTCCATATACTATAGATTCAGTTGTGTGAGGCCCCGTCCTCCATATACTATAGATCCTGTTGAGCCCTCCATCTCCCCATAACTATAGGATCCCCGTGTGATTAGTCCCCTCCCCATAACTATAGATCCTGTGTGAGGCCCATCTCCCCAAATACTAAAGATCCTGAATGGAGGTCCATGTACATCTCCCCCTATACAATAAGATCCTGTGTGAGGCCCCTCTCCTCCATATACTAAATTCTCACCCTGTGAGGCCCCCCTCCATATACTATAGATCCAGTGTGAGTCTCCATATACCCCTCCATATACTATAGATTCCTGTGTGAGGTCCCACCCCCATATACTAATAGATCCTGCGTGAGCCCCCCATCTCCTCCACAACTGATAGATCCAGTGTGAGTCCCCCCCCATATTACTATAGATCCTGTATGAAGCCCCCTCCTCCATATACTATAGATCCTGTGAGAGGCCCCAATCCCCCCATGCTGGACCTACCCTTGTCTGGTAAGGGGGGGCTGCGTTCCTCCCCTCTGGGGGGGGAGGGTTTGGCACTCTTCGGTCCCTCCCTTGCGCCCCCCAGTCCCTCCTCCCTCATCCTCTCTGTATCTCCTCTCCTCCTGCGCAAGATCCTGGAAGAGACAGACGGACTCCATGACAGGTCCTCACCAGGGACCGCCCCTGACACCATCCTGGGGGCGGGACTACGGTAATATCCCCCTCGGGGGCGGGACTAACGATGGGGGGGGGACTAATGATGGGGGGGGGGACTAATGATGGGGGACTAATGATGGGACTAAATGATGGGGGACTAATGATGGGGGACTAATGAGGTGGAGGGGAGGGGAGGGGAGGGGAGGGGGGGGCGGTAACAACAACGCACTTCTCCATCTCCTTGCGGTATCGCTCCTCTTCCATATTCCGCCATCTTCTGGACGTCTCCATCTTCCTCCTGCCGGGAATATACAACCAATCTGTAGGATAGACACCCCACCAGGAGCCTGAGAGAGATTACAGCGTCCCCGCCCCCTCCCCCACCAGTCCTCCTCCCCCTCCCCACCAGTCCTCCCTCCTCCTCCCCACCAGCCCCTCCTCACAGTCCTCCCCTCCTCCCCACCAGTCTCCTCCCCCTCACCAGCACCGCCCCCCCCCCTCCCCCTCAGACTCCTACCCCCTCCCCACCAGTCTCCTCCCCCTCCCCACCAGTCTCCTCCTCCCCCCCCACCAGCCTCCTCCTCACTAGTCCTCACCCCCTCCTCCCCACCAGTCTCCCCCCCCCTCACCAGCAATCTCCCCCTCCTCCCCCCCTCAGAAGACTCCCTCCCCCTCCCCACCAGACTCCCTCCCCCTCCCCACCAGACTCCTCCCCCTCCCCACCAGTCCTCCCCACCAGCCTCCTCCCCCTCCCCCACCAGCCCTCCTCCTCCTCCCCACCAGCCTCCTCCTCACTAGTCCTCCCCTCCTCCCCACCATCCCTCCCCCCCTCACCAGCAATCTCCTCCTCACTAGTCCTCCCCTGGGCCACCCCCCACCACCAGCCTCCTCCTCACTAGTCCCTCCCCTCCAGTCTCCCCCCCCACCAGTCCTCCTCCTCCCCACCCACTAGTCCTCCCCACCAGTCTCCCCCCCCTCCTCCCCACCAGTCCCCTCCCCCTCACCACTAGTCCTCCCCACCAGTCCTCCTCCTCCTTCCTCCCCATCAGTCTCCTCCTCCTCCTCACCACCCCCCTCCCTCCTCCTCACCACCAGCCGCCTCCTCCTCACCACTAGTCCCCCTCCCCTCCTCCCCACCAGTCCTCCCACCCCCCCCCCTCCCCCCCCCCGATCACATACACCTCCTCCTCCCCCTCACCAGTCTCCTCCTCCCCCCCCCCCCGATCACGTACACCTCCTCCTCCCCCCTCACCATCTCCTCCTCCTCCCCCCCCCGATCACGTACACCTCCTCCCCCCCTCACCAATCTCCTCCCCCCCCCCGATCACGTACACCTCCTCCTCCCCCTCACCAATCCCCTCCCCCCCCCCCCCCGATCACGTACACCTCCTCCTCACCCCCCTCACCAATCTCCTCCCCCCCCCGATCACGTACACCTCCTCCTCCCCCTCCACCAATCCCTCCTCCTCCCCCCACACCCCCCCCCCCCCCCCCATCACGTACACCTCCTTCCTCCCCCTCACCAATCTCCCCCCCCCCCCCCACCCCTCCTCCTCCCCCTACCCAATCCCCCCCACCTCCTCCCCCCCCACCACCAATCTCCCCCCCCCCCCCACCGATCACGTACACCTCCTCCTCCCCCTCACCAATTCTCCCCCCCCCCCCCCCGATCATCGTACACCTCCTCCTCCCCCTCACCAATCTTCTCCCCCCCCCCGATCACGTACACCTCCTCCTCCCCCCTCACCAATCCCCACCCCCCCCCCCCCCGAGCCATACACCGCCCCCCCCCCCTCCCCCCCCCCCCCCCCGATCACGTACACCTCCTCCTCCCCCTCACCCCCCTCCCCCCCCCCCGATCACGTACACCCCCTCCCCCCCTCCTCCCCCTCACCAATCTCCTCCCCCCCCCGATCACGTACCCCCCCTCCTCCTCCCCCCCCCTTTCCCCCCCCCCCCCCCCCGATCCCGTAACACCTCCTCCTCCCCCTCCCCCCCTTCCCCCCCCCCCCGATCCCCGTACACACCTCACCCCCCCCCCCTCCCCACTTCTCCTCCTCCCCCCCCGACCATACCCCCCTCCTCCCCCCCCCCCCCCCCCCCCCAATCACCCATACCCCCCCCCCCCCCTCACCCCCCCTCCTCCCCCCCCCCCCCCCCCCCACGAACCACCCACCCCTCCCCCTCACCAATCTCCCCCCCCCCCCCCTCACCCCCCCACCTCCTCCCCCCCCCCCCAAACACGTACACCCTCCTCCCCTCCCCCACCAATCCCACTCCCCCAACCCCCTCCCCCCCCCCTCACCATCTCCCCCCCCCCCCCCTCACCCGCCCCACCTCCCCCCTCCCCCCCCCCCCCCCCCCACCGTACACCTCCTCCTCCCCCCTACTCCTCCCCTCCCCCCCCATCCGTACCCCCTCCCCCCCCTCCCCCCTCCCCCCTACCCCCCCCCCCCTACACCTCCCCTCCCCCCCCCCCCCCCCCCCCAGATCACGTACACCTCCCCCCCCCTCCCCCCCCCCCCCCCCACCCCCCCCACGTCCCCCCCCCCCCCCCCCCCCCCCCCCCCCCCACCTACACCTCCCCCATCCCCCCCCCCCCCAGATCCCGTACCCTCCCCCCCCCCCCCCCCCCCCCTCCTCCCGCCCCCCCCCCCCCCCCCCCCCCACCTCCCCTCCCCCCCCCTCCCCTCTCCCCCCCCCCCCCCCCCCGATCACGTACACCCTCCTCCCTCCTCCCCCTCCCTCCCCCCCCCCCGATCCTACCACCCCCCCCCCCCCACATCTCCTCCCCCCCCCCCCCCCCACGTACCATCCCCTCCTCCTCCTCCCCCCCCCCCCCATCACTACACCTCCCCCCTCCCCCCCCCCCCCCCCCAGATCCGTACACCTCCTCCTCCTCCCCCCCCCCCCCCCCGACACGTACCCCCTCCCCCCCCCCCCCCCCCCCCAGATCCCGACACCTCCCCCCCACCCCATTTCCCCCCCCCAGCCCCACTACACCCCTCCCCCCCCCCCCCCCCCCCTCCACCCCTCCCCCCCCCCCCCCCCCCCCACAACCCCTACCTCCCTGCCCCCCCCCCCAGATCACGTACTTACCTCCTCCCCCCCCCCCCCAGATCACGTACACCTCCCCCTCACCCCCCCCCCCCCCCAGATCCGTACACCCCCTCCTCCTACCCCCCACCCCCCCCCAGATCACATTACACCAACCTCCCACCACCCCCTCACCCAACCAACCCCCCCCCCCAGATCACTACACCCCTCCTCCCCATCCCCCCCCCCCCCCAGATCACCCCCACACCTCCTCCCCCCCCTCCCCCCCCCCCCAGATCCCCACACCCCCACCTCCCCTCCTCCCCCCCCCCCCCCAGATCACCCCCCACCTCCCCCCCCTCCCCCCCCCCCCAAATCACGTACACCTTCTCCTTCTCCTGCTGCTCCAGGATCTTGTTCTCCCCCCCATGGCCCCCCTTCTGTCGGAGGAGTTCCTGACCTCCCCTCCTGGCGCCCCCCCCTACTATCCCACCCCGTCCCTCCCCAAGAGTTCCCGGCCCTGGAGGAGACAGGAATCCCGGAGTAGTGCCCCCCCTCCCCCCCCTGCAAAGGCTGCAGGAACCCCCCCCCCCCCCCCTACTGGGGGGCCCAGATGGCCCCCCCCCCTGACCCCCCCCACGGGGCCCCCATCCCCCAGAAGATGAGAAGCTTCAGAGCCAGAGCCGGCAGATCTGTCCTCCAGGCGTGTCCCCCCCTGACCCCCCCCCCCCCCCGACAGACCCACATTCCTCCCCCCCCCCCCCGAGCTCCGGTGCACATCACGTCCCACCCCCACCCCCCCAATCATCCCCCGGCTCCGTGTACCCGTCATCCCGCCAGCGTGTGGTGTGTACAATCCGTGTCCCCCCCGAACATACAATCACCACGTCCCCCCCCCCCGAACTCCCCCCCCCTCTCCTTTCCCCCCCCCCGAACATACAATCACCACGTCCCCCCCTCCCCCCCCCGCCATACAATCCCCACGTCCTCCCCCCCCCGAACATACAATCACCACGTCCCCCCCCCCACTCCATACAATCACCCTCTTCCCCCCCCCCGAACTCCCCAATCCCCACGTCTACCCCCCCCCCCGAACATACAATCACCCCCTCATCCCCCCCCCCCGAACATACCCACACCACCTTCCCCCCCCCCGTCCCAATCCCTCCCTCCCCCACCCGTCCTTCCCCCCCCCCCCCGAACATACAATCACCACGCCCCCCCCCCCCCCCCCGAAATACAATCACCGTCTTCCCCCCCCCGAACATACAATCACCACGTCCCCTCCCCCCCCGAACATACAATCACCACGTCCCCCCCCCCCCCCCGAACATACAATCACCACGTCCCCCCCCCCCCCCCCGAACATACAACCCCCCACGTCTGAGCCCCCCCCCCGAACATACAATCCCCCCCCCCCCCCCCAACATCCCCCTACCCTCCCCCCCCCCCCCAACATACAATCCCACCCCCCCCCCCCCCCCCCCCCCGAACAAACAATCCCCCGTCTCCCCCCCCCCCGAAGCCAACAACCCCCCCCACCCCTGCCCCCCCAACATACCCCCACGTCTCCCCCCCCCAACATACAATCCCCACACTGCCCCCCCCCCCCCGAACATACAATCCCCACATCCCCCCCCCCCCCCCCAAACATACAATCCCCACGTCCCCCCCCCCCCCGAACATACAATCCCCACGTCTTCCCCCCCCGAACATACAATCCCACCACACCCTCCCCCCCCCCGAACATACAATCACCACGTCTGCCCCCCCCGAACATACCCCCACGTCCGCCCCCCCCCCCCCAGCTCCCCACGTCCCCCGCCCCCCCCACATACAATCCCCACTTCCCCCCCCCCGAACATCCCCCCCCTGCCCCCCCCCGAACATACAATCCCCACGTCCCTCCCCCCAAACATACAATCCCCACCTGCCCCCCCCCCCATTTACCAATCCCCACGTCTGCCCCCCCCGAACCATACAATCCCCACGTCCCTCCCCCCCCCCCCCCAACATACAATCCCCCACGTCTGCCCGCCCCCCCGAGCATACAATACCCACTTCTTCCCCCCCCCAACATACAATCCCCGAACATACAATCCCTACAATTTGCCCCCCCCCCCCGTACATACAATCCCCGAACATACAATCCCCCTCCCCCCCCCCCCCCCCCGAACATACAATCCCCACGTCTGCCCCCCCCCGTACATACAATCCCCAAAACATACAATCCCCACGTCTGCCCCCCCCAGTACATACAATCCCCACGTCTGCCCCCGAACATACAATCCCCGTGTCCCCATCCCCCCACATACAATCCCAGGGGGGTCCCGGTACTCACGGCTCCAGTGACGACGGTCAGGGTCAGGCTCCGGCTTCCCTTCAGTACTTGTACCGCCTGAAATCAGAGAGAAGGTGAGACCCCCCCATACATTGTACAACATGGAACTCCCCCCCCCACCCCCCCTAGCACCGCCCCATCCCCTCCCACCACACACCCCCTAGCACCCCCTCCATCCCCACCCACCCCACCCCTAGCACCGCCCCCCCCCTCCCACCACCCACCCCCCTCCCCTCCCACCACACACCCCTAGCACCGCCCCATCCCTCCCACCACACACCCCCTAGCACCCCCCCCATCCCCCCCCAGCACCCCCCCATCCCCTCCCACCACCCCCCCCCTTGCACCACAACCCCCCATCCCCTCCCACCACACACCCCTTGCACCCCCCCCATCCCCTCCCCCCACACACCCCCCCCCCCCCCCCCCATCCCCTCCCACCACACACCACCCCACCCCCTAGCACCCATCCCCCCCCCATCCCCTCCCACCACACCTCCCCCCTACCCCACCCCCCCCATCCCCCTCCCACCACACACCCCCTAGCACCCCCCCATCCCCCCCCCACCACACACCCCTAGCACCCCCCCATACCCCTCCCACCCCACACCCTAGCACCCCCCCCCATCCCCCTCCCCACCACCACCCCTAGCACCTCCCCATCCCCCCCACACCCCCTAGCACCTCCCCATCCCAACCCCCCCCATCCCCCCCAGCCCCCCCCCATCCCCTCCCACCCCCCCCCCCCCCACCCCCCCATCCCCCCCCACCCCCCCATCCCCTCCCACCACACACCCCCTAGCACCCCTCCCTCCATCCCCTCCCACCACACACACCCCTAGCACCGCCCTCCATCCCCTCCCACCACACACACCCCTAGCACCGCCTCCATCCCCTCCCACCCAACACCCCCTAGCACCGCCTCCATCCCCTCCCACCACACACCCCCCCCCTAGCACCGCCTCCATCCCCTCCCACCACACCCCTAGAACCGCCCCCATGCATGCCCTCCCAGCACACCTAGCACCGCCTCCATCCCCTCCCACCCCCCCCATGCCCTCCCACCACACACCCCTAGCACCGCCTCCATCCCCTCCCAGCAACCCCCCCAACCCCCCCACCACACCCCCCTAGCACCGCCCCATCCCCTCCCACCACACACCCCTAGCACCGCCCCATCCCCCATCCCCACCACACCTAGCACCGCCCCCCCCCATCCCCTCCCACCACACCCCCTAGCACCGCCCCATCCCCTCCCACTACACCCCCTGGCACCGCCCCATCCCCTCCCACCACCACCCCCCCTAGCACTGCCCCCATCCCCATCCCCCCCAGCACCCCCTAGCACCGCCCCCATCCCCTCCCAACACACCCCTAGCACCGCCTCCTTCCCCTCACAGAACACCTAGCCCCCCGCCCTCATCCCCACCCCCAGCCCCCCCCACTAGCACCGCCTCCTTCCCCTCCCACACATGTAGCACCGCCCCCATCCCCTCCCAGCACACCCCCCTAGCACCCCACCCCAATCCCCTCCCAGCACCCCACTCTAGCACCGCCTCCATCCCCTTCCAGCACACCTAGCACCGCCCCAATCCCCTCCCAGCACCCCTCTAGCACCGCCTCCATCCCCTTCCAGCACACCTAGCACCGCCCCAATCCCCTCCCAACACACCCCTAGCATCGCCCCCATCCCCTCCCAGCACACACCTAGCACCGCCTCCTTCCCCTCCCAGCAGACGTAGCACTGCCCCCATCCCCCTCCCAGCACACCCCTAGCACCGCCCCAATCCCCTCCCAACACACCCCTAGCACCGCCTCCATCTCCTCCCAGCACACCCCTAGCACCGCCCCATCCCCTCCCACCACGCCCCTAGCACCGACTCCATCCCCTCCCATCACCCCTAGCACCGCCCCCTCCCAAAACACCCCCACAATCCCCTGAAATGTACCTCTTTATGATCCACGTTGGAGAAATCCACACCATTCACCTCCACAATCTGATCACCAATCTGAGGGAGAAACCGACAGATGACAGCAAGGGGGGGGGGGACAAACGGGGAGGGAGGAGGGGGAGGTGACAAGGGGGGGGGACGACGACAGGGAGGGGGGGGGGACAGGGAGGGAGGGGGAGGTGACAGGGAGGGGGACGACGACAGGGAGGGGGGAGGGACGACAGGGAGAGGGAGGGAGGGGGACACAGGGAGAGGGAGGGAGGGAGGGGGACACAGGGAGAGGGAGGGAGGGGGGAGGGAGGGGGGAGGGAGGGGGGGGACAACAGGGAGGAGGGGGGGTGACGACAGGGAGGAGGAGGAGGAGGGGGGGGGGACAACAGGGAGGAGGAGGGGGGACGACAACAGGGAGGAGGAGGGGGGGGACAACAGGGAGGAGGAGGGGGGGGGGGGACAACAGGGAGGAGGAGGGGGGGGGGGACAACAGGGAGGAGGGGGACGGGAGGGAGGGGGGGACGGGAGGGGGAGGGGGGGGGAAGGGGGATGACAGGGGGAGGAGGGGGGGGGAAGGGGGATGACGGGGGGGGAGGGGGCTGACAGGGATGACGGGGATGACGGGGGGGAGGGGGATGGCGGGGGGAGGAGGGGGGGTGAATGCGAGGGGGGGGGGGGTGTGAATGCGAGGGGGGGGGTGACAGCGAGGGGGAGGGGGGGGGGGGGGTGACAGCGAGGGGGGGGAGCGGAGGGGGGGGGGGTGACAGCGAGGGGGGGGGGGGGGTGACAGCAAGGGATGGGGGGGGGGGGGGGGTGACAGCAAGGGAGGGGGGGGGGGGTGACAGCAAGGGGGGGGGGGGGGTGACAGCAAGGGAGGGGGGGGGGGGGTGACAGCAAGGGGGGGGTGGGGGGGGGGGGGGGTGACAGCAAGGGGGGGGGGGTGACAGCAAGGGAGGGGGGGTGACAGCAAGGGAGGGGGTCAGGGAGGGCGGGACATGGAGGCCATGATGACAGCGAGGGTGGGGGGGGGGTTACATAGAGGAGGGGATAACAGCGAGGGGGTGGAGGATGACATGGAGAAGGGGGACTACGGGGGAGGAGGGGGGTGTGATCGTGGGGGGGGTACAGAAGCCCCCCCCATATTATATACATGGAGCACTCTGAGCACCGGACTCACCTCCAGCCCCACCTCCGCTGATATAGATCCCGCCTTCACATTACTGATGAATATTCCGGGGTTTCTGGGACGGACCGCTAGAAATGCTGCCAGAAGAAAGAGCGAATCATATGGTTCCACCAATGCCCCGCCCCCTGCACACCTTACGGCATACTGCCTGCCCGCCCCCTGCACACCTTACGGCATACTTCCCCACCCCCTGCACACCTTACCTCATACTGCCCCGCCCCCTGCACACCTTACCACACACTGCCCCCGCCCCCTGCACACCTTACCACACACTGCCCCGCCCCCAGCACACCTTACGCCTACTTCCCCACCCCCTGCACACCTTACCTCATACTGCCCCGCCCCCTGCACACCTTACCGCCTACTTCCCCGCCCCCTGCACACCTTACCTCATACTGCCCCGCCCCCTGCACACCTTACCACACACTGCCCCGCCCCCTGCACACCTTACCACACACTGCCCCGCCCCCTTCACACCTTACCGCCTACTGCCCCGCCCCCTTCACACCTTACCGCCTATTGCCCCGCCCCCCTGCACACCTTACCACATACTGTCCCGCCCCCTTCACACCTTACCACATACTGTCCCGCCCCCTTCACACCTTACCGCCTACTGCCCCGCCCCCTGCACACCTTACCACCTACTGCCCCGCCCCCTGCACACCTTACCGCCTACTTCCCAGCCCCCAGCACACCTTACTTCATACTGCCCCGCCCCCTTCACACCTTACCTCATACTGCCCCGCCCCCTTCACACCTTACCTCATACTGCCCCGCCCCGTTCACACCTTACCTCATACTGCCACGCCCCCTTCACACCTTACCACATACTGTCCCGCCCCCTTCACACCTTACCACATACTGTCCCCCCCCTTCACACCTTACCACATACTGTCCCGCCCCCTTCACACCTTACCGCCTTCTGCCCCGCCCCCTGCACACCTTACCGCCTACTTCCCAGCCCCCAGCACACCTTACTTCATACTGCCCCGCCCCCTTCACACCTTACCTCATACTGCCCCGCCCCCTTCACACCTTACCACATACTGCCCCCGCCCCCTTCACAACCTTACCACATACTGCCCCGCCCCCTGCACACCTTACCACATACTGCCCCGCCCCCTGCACACCTTACCACATACTGCCCCGCCCCCTGCACACCTTACCACATACTGCCGCCCCCCCTGCACACCATTGGAAGGTGCAACGCAAGGAATGTACAGAATACACTTCATACTGGGGAACCCCAGAGGAGCCCAATCATCATCATCATCCTCAAAAATTCATCATCGTCCTCCTCCTCCTCAATAATGTACACTTCCTCTTATGATACAATACTGTATACTTCCCGTAGATGTAATGATACAATGTATACTTCCCGTAGATCTGATGATACAATGTATACTTCCCATAGATCTGTAATAATACAATGTATACTTCCCGTAGATGTAATGAGGATACAATGTATACTTCCCATAGAATGATGATTACAATGTATACTTCCCATAGATCTGATGATACAATGTATACTTCCCGTAGATCTGATGATACAATGTATACTTCCCGTAGATCTATGATGATACAATGTATACTTCCCGTAGATGTAATGATGATACAATGTATACTTCCCGTAGATGTGATGATACAATGTATACTTCCCGTAGATGTAATGAGGATACAATGTATACTTCCCGTAGATGTAATGAGGATACAATGTATACTTCCCGTAGATGTGATGATACAATGTATACTTCCTGTAGATGTATGATGATTACAATGTATACTTCCCGTAGATGTAATGATACAATGTATACTTCCCGTAGATGTAATGATGATACAATGTATACTTCCCGTAGATCTGATGATACAATGTATACTTCCCGTAGATGTAATGATGATACAATGTATACTTCCCGTAGATGTGATGATGATACAATGTATACTTCCCGTAGATGTAATGATGATACAATGTATACTTCCCGTAGATCTGATGATACAATGTATACTTCCCGTAGATCTGATGATACAATGTATACAATGTATACTTCCGTAGATCTATGATGATACAATGTATACTTCCCGTAGATGTAATGAGGATACAATGTATACTTCCCGTAGATGTGATGATGATACAATGTATACTTCCCGTAGATGTAATGATACAATGTATACGTTCCCGTATACTTTCCGTAGATCTGATGATACAATGTATACTTCCCGTAGATCTGATGATACAATGTATACTTCCCGTAGATCTATGATGATACAATGTATACTTCCCGTAGATCTATGATGATACAATGTATACTTCCCGTAGATCTATGATACAATGTATACTTCCCGTAGATCTGATGATACAATGTATACTTCCCGTAGATCTGATGATACAATGTATACTTCCCGTAGATCTATGATGATACAATGTATCATGAGAGTCGCCATCTTGTGGCGTCTGGTGGAATTGCGGGGTGCAGACCCCCCCAGGCCCCCATTGTTGGGAATGGACATCCACCTACCTGCAGCCCATCCCTGTGGTGCCCACCAGGCTGATGAAGACTTTCTTCTCCTTCACCTCCCTCCCGCCGGTGGATGCCAGTCCCGCCACGCTGCTCTTCCCGTCCTGCAGAGACATCAGAGGGGTAATCAGAGGGGTAATGGAGGGGGGGGGGGGGGGGGGGGAGTGCCAGAAGACACAGATCCTGCAATCAGCTCGTCTCCTATTGGAGGGCAATCCGTGAGAACAGAGCTGAGAATATGGGATACATTTCTGTTCCTGAGGGGAAGACATCCTCCTGCGCACAGCTGACTTCCTGTTCCTGTAGACGGCTCAGTATGGGGGGGCGGATGTACTAAGCAGTGACGTATATTCTCAGTATGGGGGGCGGATATTCTCAGTATGGGGGGGGGGGGGGCGGATATTCTCAGTATGGGGGGGGGGGGGCGGATATTCTCAGTATGGGGGGGGTGGAAAATTCTCAATATGGGGGGGGGGTGGATATTCTCAGTATGGGGGGGGGGCGGATATTCTCAGTATGGGGGGGGGGGCGGATATTCTCAGTATGGGGGGAGGGATATTCTCAGTATGGGGGGGGGGTGGATATTCTCAATATGGGGGGGTGGATATTCTCAGTATGGGGGGGGGGGGGATGATATTCTCAGCTCCATTCACTGATTATTGGGGAATGTTCTGTATTCAGGGTGACGATTCCCCCCCCCCCCGGTAACCTGAATCCAGGACATTTCCCGCCGGCGTCCCCCCCGCTGAGGGCACACGACATGCCGGGCACACAGCGGGGGTCTCGGTGGAGCTTTGACACCCTGACACTTCTGGCACCGATGTGCAGGCCGGGGGGGGGCCCCGCGTCGGCAGGCTGGGGATATATACAATATGAGATTATGACATGGCGGGGGGGCGCAGACAAAGGACACAATCAGAGCTCCGCCGGGATTAATCGGCTGAAATTTCTCAGCAGCATGGAAGGAATTCTCGGCACACAGCTAACGCTCTATTTGTGTCGGCAACAGGAGCCGGCGCTGGAGGAGGGCCAGAAAATTCCACACAGTCCTGATAAATCCCTCCGATACCGAGGAGGTCCTGGGGGGGGGGGGGGGGGGGGGGGGGGGGGGGGACAGTGGGGATGGGGGGTTCAAGTGTATAATACACAGCAAATCCCCAATACCGAGGAGGTCCTGGGGGGGGGGGGGGGGGGGGGGGGGGGGGACAGTGGGGATGGGGGGTTCAAGTGTATAATACACAGCAAATCCCCAATACCGAGGAGGTCCTGGGGGGGGGGGGGGGGGGGGGACGGACAGTGGGGATGGGGGGGTTCAAGTGTATAATACACAGCAAATCCCCAATACCGAGGAGGTCCTGGGGGGGGGGGGGGGGGGGGGACAGTGGGGATGGGCGGTTCAAGTGTATAATACACAGCAAATCCCCAATACTGAGGAGGTCCTGGGGGGGGGGGGGGGGGGGGGCAGTGGGGATGGGGGGTTCAAGTGTATAATACACAGCAAATCCCCAATACTGAGGAGGTCCTGGGGGGGGGGGGGGGGGGCAGTGGGGATGGGCGGTCAAGAGTACAATACACAGCAAATCCCTGATACCGAGGAGGTCCTGAGGAGGGACACTGGGGATGGGGGGGGGGGGGTCAAGTTTACCTACAATATACAGCAAATCTCCGATACCGAGGAGGTCCTGGGGGGGGACGGGGGGGACACTGGGGATGGGGGGGGGTCAAGTGTACAATACACAGCAAATCCCGATACTGAGGAGGTCCAAGGGGGTGGTATACCATACACAGCAAATACCGAGGAGGGGTGGGGAGGGCGTGACACTGGGGATGGGGGGGGGGGGGGGTCAAGTGTACCTGCAAATCCCTCTGATAGCGAGGAGATCCTCGGGGGGTTGGCAACTGTACAAGTACCCTGCATGGTAGATCAGTTCTCTGACCAGCCCCACCAACCCTTATAGGAGGTCAGTTCTCTGACCAGCCCCCACCAACCCATATGGGAGGTCAGTTCTCTGACCAGCCCCCACCAACCCTATATAGGAGGTCAGTTCTCTGACCAGCCCCCACCAACCCTATATAGGAGGTCAGTTTCTCTGACCAGCCCCCACCAACCCTATATAGGAGGTCAGTTCTCTGACCAGCCCCCACCAACCCTATATAGGAGGTCAGTTCTCTGACCAGCCCCCACCAACCCTATAAAGGAGGTCAGTTTTCTAACCAGCCCCCACCAACCCTATATAGGAGGTCAGTTCTCTGACCAGCCCCCACCAACCCATAGAGGAGGTCAGTTCTCTGACCAGCCCCCACCAACCCATATAGGAGGTTCACTTTTCAGGAGGCCAGCACCAACCCATACAGAGGTCAGTTCTAAGAACCCTGTATAGGAGGTCCATCCATAGGAGGTCCATCCATAGGAGGTCCATCCATAGGAGGCACCCTACAGGTCAGTTCTAAGAACCCTGTATAGGAGGTCCATCCATAGGAGGTCCATCCATAGGAGGTCCATCCATAGGAGGCACCCTACAGGTCAGTTGTGTGGAGTCCTCACCTCGGTCTCCGATATGATCTGGTCGGCATACTGCCACTGCAGCGGCTCCTCAGCTGAGCTGAAAAAACACACAAAATGGAAGTTAATGGAAGAGGAAGCGAGGAGCTCTGGAAGAGGCATTCTGGGTAATATGAGGGGTACCACCAAAACCAATATGACAGAGAGGACTGGATGGGGAATTCTAGAGATGAGCTGTGCACAGAACCCCCATTCATTTAGGGGGGGGGGTGGGGTTCCCCAAGATACACGCACACAGGGACCCCCCCCCCCCCCACACACACACACACACACACTCCAATGACTAAGGTTGGTGGGATCTTGTAGTTCGGTGATGTGGGGGAGAGGGGGACGTCACCTCTTCACTGGAATCATCCCGACATCTGAAGAGAAGAGACAGAGGTCAGTCATTCACCGCCATGCCGAGTCCCTCCCCTCCCCCGCTGCATCACACAACTTACGTCGGACTTTAATGGAGACGATCTTCTTGGTGCGGATGAGGTTGATGACTTCCTCGTGGATGCAGCAACTGATGGAGTATCCGTTTATCCGAACAAGCTCATCCCCAATCTGCAGAGAAAGGGTTAACTCATCGATAAACAGCCAATCATTCATCAGACTGGATGGTCCAGGAACGATCGATAACTGGCAGAGGCGAGAGGAATCGCTCATTACACCAACCTGGGGGGAAAGATTCCATCACACTCCCTCCCCCCACCGGAAAACTGACACCAAACTCTCAGAAAGAGACAAAACGGATCTGATAAAGGAGGAGAATCGGGGAATTGGCGTCCTGATAAGATCTGCGTTATTTGTGGAGATGGGAAGATGGCGGCTCTCTATTCACATCGAATCTCTGAGAGTCCCGCAGTCTGAGCCGCCACAAAGGAAACCTCCGGGTGACAAAGACCACGCCAATTATCCCCAGAGACCGTTCTCCACCTCAACGCGTTATTACCGCTCCAGCTAAGAATGGCCAAACGGCGGGGGAGATCACATTACAGCGTGAGAACCCAACGGAAGAGTGACCCGTCCACAAGAACCATCCGCTGGGAGCGCCATCACTGCCATCCCACCCAGGATACCACAGAACCAACCCAACCCAGTTCACTTTATACCTACCACCAGACCAAACCACTGATATACAGGGGACACCCACCAGACCAAACCACATCCTACATGGAAGACCTACCAGACTCTCCAGAAGAGTGACCCGTCCACAAGAACCGCCCACTGGGAGCGCCATCACTGCCATCCCACCAAGGATACCACAGAACCAACCCAACCCAGTTCACTTTATACCTACCACCAGACCCAAACCACTGATATACAGGGGACACCCACCAGACCCAACCACATCCTACATGGAAGACCTACCAGACTCTCCAGAAGAGTGACCCGTCCACAAAACCATCCGCCATCACTTGCATCCCACCAGGAGCGCCATCACTGACCCAAACCACCAGGGGAGACCACAGAATCCTACATGGAAGACCTACCCGACCCAGTGACCCGTCCACAAAACCATCCGCTTGCGAGCGCCATCACTGGCCATCCCACCCGGGGGGGACCACCCGTCCCACAAAACCATTGCGAGCGCCATCACTGCCATCCCACCCGGGATAACACAGAACCAACCCAACCCAGTTCACTTTATACCTACCCAGAAACCACTGATATAAAGGGGAGACCCACCAGACCCAACCACATCCTACATGGAAGACCTACCAGACTCTCCAGAAGAGTGACCCGTCCACAAAACCATCCGCTGCGAGCGCCATCACTGCCATCCCACCAAGGATAACACAGAACCAACCCAACCCAGTTCACTTTATACCTACCGCCAGACCCAAACCACCGATATACAGGGGAGACCCACCAGACCCAACCACATCCTACATTGAAGACCTACCAGACTCTCCAGAAGAGTGACCCGTCCAGAAGAACCGTCCACTGGGAGCGCCATCACTGCCATCCCACCAAGGATACCACAGAACCAACCCAACCCAGTTCACTTTATACCAACTGCTGGACCCCCACCCACCTTAATCATACAGTGGAGACCCACCAACATCCTACAGGGGAGACCTACCAGACTCTCTAGGAGAGTGACCCTTCCAGAAGAACCGTCCACTGGGAGCGTCATCACCGCCATCCCACCAAGGCTAACACAGAACCAACCCAACCCAGTTCACTTTATACCTACCGCCAGACCCAAACCACTGATATACAGGGAAGACCCACCGGACCCAACCACATTCTACATGGAAGACCTACCAGACTCTCCAGAAGAAAGATCTGTCCAGATGAACCGTCCACTGGGATCAAAAAACCCAACCCAGTTCACTTTATATCAACTGCTGGACCCCCACCCACCGAAATCATACAGTGGAGTCCCACCAGACAAACACTAGCCAACATCCTACAGGGGAGACCCACCACATTCTACATGGAAGACCTACCAGGCTCTCTAGAAGAGTGACCATTCCAGAAGAACCGTCCACTGGGACCGCAAAACCCAACCCGGTTCAATTTATACCATCTGCTGGACCCCCCCCAAATCAAAATCATACAGGGGAGACCCACCAGACAACATCCATCAACATCCTACAGAGAAGACCCACCGGACCCAACCTACCACATTCCACATGGAAGACCTTCCACTCTCTCCAAAAGAGTGACCTGTTCAGAAGAACTGGGAGTCCACTGGAAGCCCAAAACCCAACTCTTTTTACCAACTGCTGGGCCCCCCACCCACCGACATCCTGCAGGGAAGACCCACAAGACCCTACCACATCTATACATGAAAGACCTACCAGACTCTCCAGATGAGTGACCCGTCCAGAAGAAACGTCCACTGGGAGCGCAAACCCAACCCGGTTCACTTTATTACCAACTACTGGACCCCCACCCACTGAAATCATACAGGGTAGACCCACCAGACCACACCCGCCGACATCCTATAGGGGAGTTTAACCAGTCCCCACCCACATCACTACAACCCCACCTCCCTCTCCAAACCATGCCCAGCCCAACCCCCCTCCTCAGAGTAATGCTCCCCCTCCAAACCATGGATTGTTGATGGGTCTCCACTGTAGGATGTTGGTGGGTTGGGTCACCCCTACCTGTCCCTCCCCCACCTTGCCCCCGTGTTCCCAGGAATGGGTAGCGACTCTGAACAATTCCAAGATGAAGGGATAATGGATGGAAGGAGTGAAGCGCGTGTCATGTGACCTCACCTGCAGCCCCGCGCTGTCTGCCTGGCCTTCCTTCATGATATGAGAGATGAACAATCCGCATCTGAACTCCAGACCTCCCCGAACGCTGAATCCGAGTCCATCGGGGTGGGAGCGGTCCAACTTCACCTCCCTCAGCTTCCTGCCGACACAAACATGAGATGACGCCACATCCACCGCCATGTGAAGGTACAACCCCCATCATCCCCCATCATGTGAAGGTACAACCCCCATCATCCCCCACATCCACCGCCATGTGAAGGTACAACCCCCATCATCCCCCATCATGTGAAGGTACAACCCCCATCATCCCCCACATCCACCGCCATGTGAAGGTACAACCCCTATCATCCCCCATCATGTGAAGGTACAACCCCCATCATCCCCCACATCCACCGCCATGTGAAGGTACAACCCCCATCATCCCCCATCATGTGAAGGTACAACCCCCATCATCCCCCACATCCACCGCCATGTGAAGGTACAACCCCCATCAACCCCCACATCCACCGCCAACTGAAGGTACAACCCCCATCATCCCCCACCATGTGAAGGTACAACCCCCATCATCCCCCACATCCACCGCCATGTGAAGGTACAACCCCCATCATCCCCCATCATGTGAAGGTACAACCCCCATCATCCCCCACATCCACCTCCATGTGAAGGTACAACCCCCATCATCCCCCACAGCCACCGCCAACTGAAGGTACAACCCCCATCATCCCCCACATCCACCACCATCTGAAGGTACAACCCCCACCATCCCCCACATTCACCGCCATGTGAAGGTACAACCCCCATCAACCCCCCATCCACTGCCATGTGAAGGTACAACCCCCATCAACCCCCACATCCACCGCCAACTGAAGGTACAACCCCCATCATCCCCCACCATGTGAAGGTACAACCCCCATCATCCCCCACATCCACCGCCATGTGAAGGTACAACCCCCATCATCCCCCATCATGTGAAGGTACAACCCCCATCAACCCCCACATCCACCGCCAACTGAAGGTACAACCCCCATCATCCCCCACCATGTGAAGGTACAACCCCCATCATCCCCCACATCCACCGCCATGTGAGGTACAACCCCCATCATCCCCCATCATGTGAAGGTACAACCCCCATCATCCCCCACATCCACCGCCATGTGAAGGTACAACCCCCATCATGTGAAGGTACAACCCCCATCATCCCCCACATCCACCTCCAACTGAAGGTACATCATCCCCCACCATGTGAAGGTACAACCCCCATCATCCCCCACATCCACCGCCATGTGAAGGTACAACCCCCATCATCCCCCATCATGTGAAGGTACAACCCCCATCATCCCCCACATCCACCGCCATGTGAAGGTACAACCCCCATCATGTGAAGGTACAACCCATCATCCCCCACATCCACCTCCACTGAAGGTACAACCCCCATCATCCCCCACCATGTGAAGGTACAACCCCCATCATCCCCCACATCCACCTCCATGTGAAGGTACAACCCCATTCCCCCACATTCACCGCCATGTGAAAGTACAACCCCCACCATCCCCCACATCCACCGCCATGTGAAGGTACAACCCCCATCATCCCCCACAGTGACAGACGATGGGGTGGTTGAGGTTCTGCTCTGGTGAAGTCTGAGGATTACCTGGACCGTTTTGGAGTGAGCTGGTCATACTCCACCTGATGCTTCAGTGGGATGAGCGGGCGGATGGCATCGAACAACGGCAACCGTGACGGCTCATTGATGACCAACTTCAGATCGCCAACAAACACCGGGAGATTCATAGACCTGGGGGAGGGGCAAACCAGATCACATGACCTACCGGGACCATAACCCCACCTCTCCCACCTCTGCTCCACCCACCACCATCACTGACAGTACCGCCTGGTGAAGAATGACTGTCCCCACCCTGAGCACCGGAACCCACACCCAACGTTCCATTACACCCCCCCTCCAGGGGCTCCTCCAATCCCAGCCAATGAGGCTGCAAGATTCTTCTTAGTGATCACAGGTATCTTAGCCTTCCCTAGACCTTGTCTGCCCCCCCCCTCGCTAACCACACCCTTATCCACCCCACCCCCCGCCAACCACACCCTTATCCACCCCACCCCCCGCCAACCACACCCTTGTCCGCCCGACCCCCCCCCAACCACACCCTTATCCACCCCACCCCCCGCCAACCACACCCTTGTCCGCCCGACCCCCCCCAACCACACCCTTGCCTGCCCGACCCCCCCCCAACCACACCCTTGTCTGTCCCCCCCGCCAACCACACCCTTGTCTGCCCCCCCCTCGCAAACCACACCCTTGTCAGACCCCTTGTAAACCATGTCTTTGTCCCCCCCTCTCGCAAACGACACCCTTGTCCGTGCCCCTCACAAGCCACACCCTTGTCCGCCCCCCCCCCCCCCCCCCAACGGTGTGTTGCCCACTTTCCTCTTGTTGGCCTCTCGCCCGCCTCCCTCACTGGGCGTCTCCCTCGCCCGCCTCCCTCACTGGGCGTCTCCCTCGCCCGCCTCCCTCACTGGGCGTCTCCCTCGCCCGCCTCCCTCACTGGGCGTCTCCCTCGCCCGCCTCCCTCACTGGGCGTCTCCCTCGCCCGCCTCCCTCCTCTCGCCCGCCTCCCTCACTGGGCGTCTCCCTCGCCCGCCTCCCTCACTGGGCGTCTCCCTCGCCCGCCCTCTCGCCCGCCTCCCTCACTGGGTGTCTTCCTTGCTAGGGAGGGAGGCAAAGTAGCCCATTTTTCAGGGTTGATTTGTTTTACACCCTTTCTCGCTGTGTTTGGGGCGACAGTAACAATGATTGACAAGGGGGGTGGGAGGTGATGGGGGGGGATGGGAGGTGAAGGGGGGTGGGGGATATGAGGTGATGGGGAGTGGGGGTGGGGGATGGGAGGATGGGAGATGGAGGTGGGGGATGGGAGGGGGGGGGGTGGGGGATGGAAGGTGATGGGGGATGGGGGGATGGGAGGTGATAGGGGGATGGGAGGTGATGGAGGATGTGGGTGGGGGATGGGAGGTGATGGGGGTGAGGGGGATTGGAGGTGGGGGATGGATGAGGTGATGGGGGGGACGGGATGGGGGATGGGAGAGATGATGGGGGGTGGGGGATGGGAGGTGAGGGATGGGAGGTGATGGGGGGTGGGAGGTGATGGAGGATGGGGTGGGGGATGGGAGGTGATGGGGGGGGATTGGGGATGGGATGCGAAGGTGATGGGGGGGTGGGGGATGGAGGTGATGGGGGATGGGGTGATGGGGGGGGTGGGGGATGGGAGGTGATGATGGGGGTTGGGAGATGATGGGGGAGAGAGATGATGGGGGGTGGGGGATGATGGGAGAGATGATGGGGGTGGGGATGATGGGAGAGATGATGGGGGGTGGGGGATGGGAGGTGATGGGGGATGGGAGATGATGGGGGTTGGGAGATGATGGGGGGTGAGGGGGATGGGGGGGGGGGGTAGACGTCTGCAGTCAGCCATTGTGTCTGGTCTCAGCCTGGAGGTCACAGATCCGTCTTCACTCTCGGATGATCTCCGGTTCCCATCGGATCTGCAGCGCACGGAACGGACACGGAACCTCCGTCACGCGGCGCTGTCATTGTGAATAATTGAGGACCCGATTCATGGCTCAGCCGCCTCGACACACCGAACAATGAGAGCCGGAACCTGAGCAGATCCAAGCGGAGAACAAAAGCCGGAACGCTGGGAGGGGGAGGGGCTGGAAGACCTCTTGAGTATTGTCTGTATAATACAGCAGATAGAAAGTCTTCACACCCCCCCCCCCCCCCCCCCGGGTAACATGTCCGGTTCCTGTGATGTAATACATGAGACAACGATCAATCATAAACTGCACAACTCGGCCGAACAAACTGACATCTATGTGGGGGGGAGTAAAAATAAAACTAATAATCTGGTTGCATAAATGTTCACACCCTTACACTGATCCTTTGGTGAAGCCCCTTTTGATGTGATTCCGGCACTCAGTCTTTTGGGGAGGAGTCTATCAGCACATCACATCCTGATTCGGCAGTATTTGCCCGCTCTTCCATATCTGTCATCTCCTGCACACAGCCCTCCTCGCATCCCCCCACAGATCTTCCATCGGGTTCAGGTCGGGGCTCTGGCTGGGCCATTCCAGAACTTCCTCTTCTGGTGATCCCATTCCTTTGTGGATTTGGATGGATGCTTTGGGTGGTGGTCACGCTGGAAGATGAAGTTCCTCTTCATGAAGCCGGAAGGTTTTGTGCCGATATTGACCCGTATTTGGACCTGTTCATAATTCCCTCCACCTGGACTAAGGCCCCAGTTCCAGCTGAAGGAAAACCGCCCCAAAGCATGATGCTGCCACCACCATGCTTCACAGTGGGTATGGTGTTATTCTGGTGATGGGCAGTGTTGTGCCAAACATATCTCTTGGAATTCTGGCCACAAAGTCCATCCTTGGTTCCATCGGACCAGAACACATTCCCCTCGTGCTCCTGGGAGACTTCAGATGTTTCTGCAGAATGTAGCCGGGCTTGGATGGTTGTCTTGGTGAGGAAAGTCTTCCGTCTTCCACTCTCCCCCATCGCCCAACATATGAAGAACACGGGAGATCGGTGTCACATGGACCACACAGCCAGGACTGGCCACATATTCCTGCAGCTCCTTTCATGTTGCTGTACGCCTCTTGGATGCCTCCCAGACCGGTTTTCTTCTCGTCTTTTCATCCATTTTGGAGACGTCCAGTTCTTGGTGGTGTCCTTGTTGGTGAGGTCCCTGCTGGTGAGGCCCCTGCTGGTGAGGCCCCTGCTGGTGAGGCCCCTGCTGGTGAGGCCCCTGCTGGTGAGGTCCCTGCTGGTGAGGTCCCTGCTGGTGAGGCCACTGTCGGTGTCAATGTCGGTGAGGCCACTGTCGGTGTCAATGTCGGTGAGGCCACTGTTGGTGTCAATGTGGTGAGGCCACTGTCGGTGTCAATGTTGGTGAGGCCACTGTTGGTGTCAATGTTGGAGAGGCCACTGTTGGTGAGGCCACTGTCGGTGTCAATGTTGGTGAGGCCACTGTTGGTGAGGCCACTGTCGGTGTCAATGTCGGTGAGGCCACTGTCGGTGTCAATGTCGGTGAGGCCACTGTCGGTGTCAATGTCGGTGAGGCCACTGTCGGTGTCAATGTTGGTGAGGCCACTGTCGGTGTCAATGTTGGTGAGGCCACTGTTGGTGAGGCCACTGTCGGTGTCAATGTTGGTGAGGCCACTGTCGGTGAGGCCACTGTCGGTGTCAATGTCGGTGAGGCCACTGTCGGTGTCAATGTCGGTGAGGCCACTGTCGGTGAGGCCACTGTCGGTGAGGCCACTGTCGGTGAGGCCACTGTCGGTGAGGCCACTGTCGGTGAGGCCACTGTCGCGTCATATTTCCTCCCCTTGATGATGACGGTCTTCGCTGTGTTCCATGGGATATCTAACGCCGTGGAGACTCTTCTGTCCCCGTCTGACTGATACTTTGTAACAATGAGATCCCTCCGATGCTTTGGACGCTCTCTGCAGATCATGGCGTCTGCTGTAGGATGCGACTAAGAAAATGTCAGGAAAAACCGACTAGAACAACAACTTTATTTGGGGGTCATCAGAGGCACATCACATGATGGCGGGTGTGTCCTGACTGCTACATACCATGATTGTGGGTGTGACTGCTGAACACAATGACATCCCCAGTTATAGGAGGGTGTGCTCACTTATGCAACCACATTAGTTTAGTTTTTTTATGTTCACACCCCCCCCCCCCCCCCCCCACAAGATGTCAGGTTTGTTGTTCAGCCGAGTTGTACAGTTTATCTGTCACATGAAAGGCGGGAAAAGTTCTGAAATGATTTATCTTTGTCTCATTACTTGTACATCACAGAAACCGGACATGTTACCCGGGAATGGGGGGGGGGGGGGGTGAAGACTTTATATATCCACTGTATACCTTCCAGAATCCTTCCATCCCCCCCCCAGGACTATTCCATATGATCCCAATACTATTCTGTCCATCCATACCCCCCCCCCCCCATGTATCCTCCATCCTCCCCAGGTCTATACCCCCCCCCCCCCCATGAATCCTCCATCCTCCCAGGTCTATACCCCCCCCCCATGAATCCTCCTCCATCCTCCCCAGGTCTATACCCCTCCCCCCCATGAAACCTCCATCCTCCCCGGATCTCTGCCCCTCCCCCATGAATCCTCCCCGGATCTATACCCCTCCCCCCATAAATCCTCCATCCCTCCCCGGGTCTATACCCTTCCCCCCATAAATCCTCCATCCTCCGGGTCTGTACCCCTCCCCCCCAGGAATCCCCCGAGTCTATACCCCTCCCCCCCCATGAATCCTCCGTCCTCCCCAGCTCCATACACCTCCCCCCCAGGAATCCTTACACCCCTGGCCTATAACCCCCTCCCCCCCCATGAATCCTCTGTACACCCCAACTCTATACCCCCCAGGACTCCTCTGTGCACCCCCCCCCCCAGGACTCCTCTGTGCGCACCCCCCCCCCCCCAGGACTCCTCTGTGCACCCCCCCCCAGGACTCCTCTGTGCACCCCCCCCCCCCCCCAGGACTCCTCTGTGCCCCCCCCCCCCCCAGGACTCCTCTGTGCGCACCCCCCCCCCCCAGGACTCCTCTGTACACCCCCCCCCCCCCAGGACTCCTCTGTACACCCCCCCCCCCCCCAGGACTCCTCTGTACACCCCCCCCCCCCTGTGCAGGACTCCTCTGTACACCCCCCCCCCCCCCAGGACTCCTCTGTACACCCCCCCCCCCAGGACTCCTCTGTACACCCCCCCCCCCCCAGGACTCCTCTGTACACCCCCCCCCCCCAGGACTCCTCTGTACACCCCCCCCCAGGACTCCTCTGTACACCCCCGGTCTATACGTGGATATGGGGGACAGGTGGGCAGCAGAGAAGCTCTGCCCCCGGAGGATACTCACTGGTAGTACATCCGGAGCACATCGTACAGATAGTCCTTCTCCGCCTCGTTATCGATGCATTTCTCCACCTAGAACAGAAATGACCGTCAGAGGAAGGAAATCCTACCAACAATACATATCAATGGGTGATCCGTGCGTCCGGCGGGATCTAGGTCCCAGGCGGGATCCGTAGCGTCCAGGCGGGATCCGTGTGTCAGGCGGGATCCGTTAGGTGGGATCTAGGTCCAGGCGGGATCCGTGTGTCAGGCGGGATCCAGGCGGGATCCTGTGCATCTGGCGGGCTCTAGGTCCAGGCGGGATCTAGGTCCATGTGGGATCCGTGTGTCCAGGGCGGGATGCAGATCAAAGGCGGGATCTGTGCATCTGGCGGGCTCTAGGTCCAGGCGGGATCCAGGTCCAGGCGGGATCCGTGTGTCCAGGCGGGATCTGCAGATCAAAGGCGGGATCTGTGCATCTGGCGGGCTCTAGGTCCAGGCGGGATCTAGGTCCAGGCGGGATCCGTGTGTCCAGGCGGGATCCGTGTGTCCAGGCGGGATCCGTGTGTCCAGGCGGGATCTAGGTCCATGTGGGATCCGTGCGTCCGGCGGGATGCAGATCAAAGGCGGGATCCGTGCATCTGGCGGGCTCTAGGTCCAGGCGGGATCCATGTGTCAGGCGGGCTCTAGATCCATGTGGGATCCGTGCGTCCAGGCGGGATCCGTGCGTCGGCGGGATCTAGGTCCAGGCGGGATCCGTGCGTCCGGCGGGATCTAGGTCCAGGCGGGATCCGTGCGTCCGGCGGGATCTAGGTCCAGGCGGGATCCGTAGCGTCCGGCGGGATCTAGGTCCAGGCGGGATCCGTGCGTCCGGCGGGATGCAGATCAAAGGCGGGATCCGTGCATCTGGCGGGCTCTAGGTCCAGGCGGGCTCTAGGTCCAGGCGGGATCCGTGCGTCCGGCGGGCTCTAGGTCCAGGCGGGATCCGTGCGTCCGGCGGGCTCTAGGTCCAGGCGGGATCCGTGCGTCCGGCGGGCTCTAGGTCCTGGCGGGATCCGTGCGTCCGGCGGGCTCTAGGTCCAGGCGGGATCCGTGCGTGCCGGCGGGCTCTAGGTCCAGGCGGGATCCGTGCGTCCGGCGGGCTCTAGGTCCAGGCGGGATCCGTGCGTCCGGCGGGCTCTAGGTCCAGGCGGGATCCGTGCGTCCGGCGGGCTCTAGGTCCAGGCGGGATCCGTGCGTCCGGCGGGCTCTAGGTCCAGGCGGGATCCGTGCGTCCGGCAGGCCTCTAGGTCCAGGCGGGATCCAGGTCCACGCGGGATCCGTGTGTCCGGCCCTCTAGGTCCAGGCGGGATCCGTGCGTCCGGCGGCCTCTAGGTCCAGGCGGGATCCGTGCGTCCGGCGGGCTCTAGGTCCAGGCAGGATCCGTGCGTCCGGCGGGCTCTAGGTCCAGGCGGGATCCGTGCGTCCGGCGGGCTCTAGGTCCAGGCGGGATCCGTGTGTCCGGTGGGATCTAGATCCATGTGGGATCCCGTGTGTCCGGCAGTACCTGGCGCTCGGTGAGGTGCTGGAAGAACGGTTTGAGGAATCTTTTCGGCCATTGGTTGATGCAGCACATTCCGGAGGAGAATGGAGGAGAACGGCGGAGCTGGCTGTGCGGAGGCTGAGCTGCACTGACAGCGGATCACATTACAGGACTCCCGGCCGGGAGGGGAGATCACAGTCTGTGGAACACTCGCAGCACGCACACCGATGTGGACACAGATTTTAGGGATGCCACGCCCATCCACGCCATAATCCCGCCTGTACAGCACACACAATGCCAACGCTCGCCCGCTTCTGTCCTCTACATACAGACCAACCTCATCACATGACCAGACCGCTGCTGGAAGCATGAGAAGGAAATGACATTCCTGGGGGGTCTCTGCATACATGCCAAGATCACAAGGGAGGGCCAAGCCACGGGACGGGTGCGGATACAGAGGGCCAAGCCACGGGGACAGGTGCGGATACAGAGGGCCAAGCCACGGGTCCGGACAGAGAGGGCCAAGCCACGGGTCCGGACAGAGAGGGCCAAGCCACGGGTCCGGACTGAGAGGGCCAAGCCACGGGTCCGGACTGAGAGGGCCAAGCCACGGGTCCGGACTGAGAGGGCCAAGCCACGGGTCCGGACTGAGAGGGCCAAGCCACGGGAGACGGGTCCGGACAGAGAGGGCCAAGCCACGGGAGACGGGTCCGGATACAGAGGGCCAAGCCACGGGAGACGGGTCCGGATACAGAGGGCCAAGCCACGGGAGACGGGTCCGGATACAGAGGGCCAAGCCACGGGAGACGGGTCCGGATACAGAGGGCCAAGCCACGGGAGACGGGTCCGGATACAGAGGGCCAAGCCACGGGAGACGGGTCCGGATACAGAGGGCCAAGCCACGGGAGACGGGTCCGGATACAGAGGGCCAAGCCACGGGAGACGGGTCCGGATACAGAGGGCCAAGCCACGGGAGACGGGTCCGGATACAGAGGGCCAAGCCACGGGAGACGGGTCCGGATACAGAGGGCCAAGCCACGGGAGACGGGTCCGGATACAGAGGGCCAAGCCACGGGAGACGGGTCCGGATACAGAGGGCCAAGCCACGGGAGAGGGCGGATACAGAGGGCCAAGCCACGGGAGACGGGTCCGGATACAGAGGGCCAAGCCACGGGAGACGGGTCCGGATACAGAGGGCCAAGCCACGGGAGAGGGCCGGATACAGAGGGCCAAGCCACGGGAGACGGGTCCGGATACAGAGGGCCAAGCCACGGGAGACGGGTCCGGATACAGAGGGCCAAGCCACGGGGACGGGTCCGGATACAGAGGGCCAAGCCACGGGACGGGTGCGGATACAGAGGGCCAAGCCACGGGACGGGTGCGGATACAGAGGGCCAAGCCACGGGGACGGGTGCGGATACAGAGGGCCAAGCCACGGGACGGGTGCGGATACAGAGGGCCAAGCCACGGGACGGGTGCGGATACAGATACAGAGGGCCAAGCCACGGGGACGGGTGCGGATACAGAGTACAGAGGGACAAGCCACGGGACGGGTGCGGATACAGAGGGACAAGCCACGGGACGGGTGCGGATACAGAGGGACAAGCCACGGGACGGGTGCGGATACAGAGGACAAGCCACGGGACGGGTGCGGATACAGAGGGACAAGCCACGGGACGGGTGCGGATACAGAGGGACAAGCCACGGGACGGGTGCGGATACAGAGGGACAAGCCACGGGACGGGTGCGGATACAGAGGGACAAGCCACGGGACGGGTGCGGATACAGAGGGACAAGCCACGGGACGGGTGCGGATACAGAGGGACAAGCCACGGGACGGGTGCGGATACAGAGGGCCAAGCCACGGGACGGGGTGCGATACAGAGTACAGAGGGCCAAGCTACGGGACGGGTGCGGATACAGAGGGACAAGCCACGGGACGGGTGCGGATACAGAGGGACAAGCCACGGGACGGGTGCGGATACAGAGGGACAAGCCACGGGACGGGTGCGGATACAGAGGGCCAAGCCACGGGACGGGTGCGGATACAGAGGGCCAAGCCACGGGACGGGTGCGGATACAGAGGGACAAGCCACGGGACGGGTGCGGATACAGAGGGACAAGCCACGGGACGGGTGCGGATACAGAGGGACAAGCCACGGGACGGGTGCGGATACAGAGGGACAAGCCACGGGACGGGTGCGGATACAGAGGGACAAGCCACGGGACGGGTGCGGATACAGAGGGACAAGCCACGGGACGGGTGCGGATACAGAGTACAGAGGGCCAAGCCACGGGACGGGTGCGGATACAGAGGGACAAGCCACGGGACGGGTGCGGATACAGAGGGACAAGCCACGGGACGGGTGCGGATACAGAGGGACAAGCCCGAAGATCAGTCCATAAAGACTCCAATGGTGACAAGTTCCCATCTAGACCAGTCCATAGGACTCTCCCAGGACCCTTGTTGGGGCCCCACCCTGGCAGATAGAAGCATCATCTGATTTATTCGGAATGTCCACCACCCCAACCTCAGAACATCCCCGACGAGAGGGAAAGGGGTCCCAGTAGGATTGTTACCCCGATACCCGGCCAGGTACACATCAGGTGGGGCCCCGTGGAGGAGCAGGTGAGAAGGTCATTCACCCCCAGTGAGGCCTCCGGAACAAGGAGAGACCGCCGAATGGTCACCACAAACCGCCCGTCCAGACCATCAATGGGGAAGGAAGCAATGGGCCCCGATGCTAAAGGGCCCCTATACACATCAGTGCTTGAGGTCAACACAGGAACACCTGGGGTATGTATGGGGGAAGGGGGGGGGGGAGAGGTGACGAGGGTGCAAGGGATGTATGGGGGAAGGGGGTGTTGAGGGTGCAAAGTGGGGGGAGGGGTTGAGAGAGGTGATGAGGGTGCAGGGTGTGGGGAGGGGGCTTATGAGAGTGTAGGGGATGTGTGTGGGGGGGGGGGTATATGTACAGGGGGGGGGTGTTGAGGGTGCTAGGGATGTAGAGGTGGGGTGATCTGTAGAGGCGGGGGGGGGGGGGCAGGGGGGATTTTGTGTGTAGGGGGGGGAGGGGTGCAGAGAATCTGTGTCTGTAGGGGGGGGGAGGTATATGTTAGGGGGGGTATATGGGGGGGGTATATGTAGGGGGAGGTATATGTAGGGGGGAGGTATATGTAGGGGGGGAGGTATATGTAGGGGGAGGTATATGTAGGGGGGGGTATATGTAGGGGGGGTATATGTAGGGGGGGGAAATATAGGTAGGGGGGGGGAGGTATATGTAGGGGGGTAGGGTGGGGGTATATGTAGGGGGGGGTATATATGTAGGGGGGGGGGGTATATGTAGGGGGGGGGTATATGTAGGGGGAGGTATATGTAGGGGGAGGTATATGTAGGAGGGGGGGGGGTATATGTAGGGGGGGGTATAGGGGGAGGTATATGTAGGGGGGGGAGGGGGAGGTATATGTAGGGGGGAGGTATATGTAGGGTATAGGTAGGGGGGGAGGTATATGTAGGAAGGGGGTAGGGGGGGGGTATATGTAGGGGGGGAGGTATATGTAGGGGGGGGTATA